TTTTTTTTTTTTTTTTTTCCCCTTCTTGGATGGAACTTCAAGTGCCCCAGCTCGGCTAAACTGGTGTGCACTGTGCAGTGAAAATTAGGCTCGGCGAAAACAGGATCGGAGGTAGTGGTGGTTTAAGAAAAGAAAAAACGAGGTTTCATTTCTGAGTCACCGGCATTTGATCACCTCCCAAATGCTTCCAGGAGCGAGGTCCCACTAGCAACGAGGATTGGATGAAGCTCCTGAATCTGGACGTGTTTTAAGCAGAGATGCAGAAAAGCAGTTCAATCTTGGTTTTCTGCTCCTTTCCACGAACACGTCCAGATTCAGGCGTTCGATCCAATCCTGTTTGCTAGTGGGACCTCACCCCACGACAAAATATAGCATCCGTCCGCTGGCCAAACTCGAGCCGAGGATTCTTTAATGAACTTCATTTCTTTCACCCTCTTCCCTCCCCCCTTCAGGCGCCATTTGGTTTCACCCCAACCCCATCAGTTTAATGAACTTTAATCCATAGTCCATCAGACCATTTTAAAAGTGTCCGGCGTCCGCTTCCCTGAGTGGAATTCGAGGTCACAAGTTTGAGTCGTTGAGTGGAATTAAGTTTGAGTCCTTGAGTGGAATTCAAGGTCACGAGTTCGAGTCCTCGAGTGGAATTTGTGCATGGCATTTATGAATGATTACGCCCTATTCGCTTCGTGAGCGCAAGGTCATATGTTCAAGTCCTCGGTCAGGATTTGTGCACTGGCCTGTGTGACGACGTCCTCATTCATGGCTTCGACCTTAGTGAAGTCCTGGAGGGGGTTTCCTACCAAGGTGGCAATTAGAGCGATGTCCGTCCATACCTTGGCCCTTCTAAGCTTCCGGGTCTTTTCCAACCCTTCTGACGTGGCGTCAAGAAATCGAGCTTCAGTCGGGATCTTATCAGTCCGACTGTAGCTAGCACACCGTAGCTCGTGGTTGCTGGCCAGCATGCCCGCACCCCACTTCTTGTGACAGCACGTGTACTTTTGCGACTTCATCAGGGAAAGAAGAGGAGCTCAGGCAGGTAACCTGCTCTGACATCGACCGTAGGAATGAAGCTTCGATCGAACTTCGCTTCTTGGAAAACTACCGCGTGTAATTTTTCATAACATATGCAACAATTACTACCGTACCGTCTTCCCCTGAACAATGCATGGCAATTATGAAATGTATACAAGCTGTACATCCGGTCCGATGCAGTCATACGGAACGGTGCGTTGCGTTTGGAACTTTGGAGGTCATCAGCTCTTTGACTTTACATCTGAACGAATGCACGTTATCCTTGATCAACGTGCTTATCTTGATCCAAGACCGGAAGCCCGTACAAAACTTCACTGTTCATGAAACCCATCCTCCCGCGGCAATCACATCCTTGTCCTCACCGGTACACTCCCTGAGGCAAGTGGTCACTCTGCTACCGTCTGCACTTGAATAGGCCACCCTCTTACCACCGCTGAATCTAGGCTGAAAGTTGGCCCAAATACAGCTATAATGACCGGGCAATGCAGCTATATTATTTGGGTAGATGAAGACCGTCGTATGGGTGAGCATCGTGCTGGCTGGTCAGGGCATAATCCAACTGCATAAGAGGTCTAATGAATCTGTTCAGACCTCCCCAGCCCAATTTCGTGGCTGTCTCTTCTTTTGGATCTTACCTTATTTCTTTTAGGCAAGCAACACAGCGTAATATGCGACGTTCGATAGGCAGCCATCCGGTCCCGCCCACGCCCCCCCACCCGGCGAACTCCTGCTCCGCAAACAATCGAGCTCTCTGCACTTCCTCCGTGCTGCTGAATGTCCCAACTTGTGAGACCCCGAACGGTCTTGGAACTTTGATGGACCTCTCTCTCTCTCTCTCTCTCTCTCTCTCTC